GGAGAGCAACTAATCAACGAGTACTCCTTGGGTTACTTGCTCTCAACCGTTTCCACGTGTCGCATCTTGGGCGCTCCTTCCAGATTTTTATTTATTTATTTGTACACGTTTTCGGCTTTTAGATGATTTTTTCGGGGGGTTTTGGCTTTTTGGATTTTCCCAAGTTTTTCTTAGTTTTGGGGCAAAAAATCGATTTTATCTTTTTGCGCAAAAAATGTTTTTTTCTTTTTTCTTCTTTTGTGAGAGGCAGAAATTACTTCTCAGGGAGGCACATATTTAATTCCACGATGCCTCTCGAAAAAGGAAAAAAAAGCGTTTTTTTCCTTCCGCAAGGCACACAGTCATGCCTCTCAGAGAAGGAAAAAATTCATTCGGCATAAATTTACTTTTCGTGAAGCCACGGATTCGATTCCATGATAAGCACAACTATGCCTCTCAAAAAAGGAAAAAATGTGTTCTCTATTTTCCTTCCATGAGAGGCACACATTACTTCTCGTGGAGGCATGGATTTGCTTTGGCGATAAGAAGGAAAAAATGTGTTTTTTTTATCATGAGAGGCAGAAATTTACTTCTCGTGGAGATACGGACTAGCTTCCGTGAGAGGCACAGTCGAAAAAGAAAAAGGAAACATGTTTTCTATTTTATTTCATGGTATGCACAGATTTACTTCTCATGGAGGGACGAATTTGCTTCCGCGAGAAGCACAACTATGCCTCTCGAAAAAGGAAAAAACGTGATTTTTTGGGAGAGGCACAGGTTTTTTTGTCTAGTTCTTTTGTGAAAAAAAGAAGTTCGTTAAAACCTATCAACATTGGACCTAATTTTGAAGATCTCGACGCAAGAATCCAACGGTAAAAATGGTTCGAGATTTGGATATTTAAGAGATAAAATGTTTTGAATAAACTCTCCTCCGTTTGTTTTGGTTTTATTTATTTCATTTTTCTTTTAAACTTTCATTTATGATTTGAACTATCCCAACATATAAATGTTTGTATTTAAATTGTTTATTCAGTGGTTAAGAAATGTTTACACAATATTAAAAAAATGTTCACGCACTTTTCAAAATGTTGATGGCATTCAAAAACAATATATATTATAAAATATTCACAAGTTTCAGAAAAATGTTTATGACACTTAAAAAATGTTTATGCATTGTAAAAAATGTTTGCACAATTCCAAATAATGTTTTGTACCATTATAAAATATGAAAAATGTAAACCTAGTTAAAAAAATGACTATGCAAGTTTTTTCTAATTCTTTTAAACAATTAAACATTGTAAAAAATGTTCGCTTAGTTTAAAAAATGTTCATTGCCATTAAAAAATGTACAACATGTATTTGGAAAATATTACCATGTATTTGAAGAAGTGTTCTAAACATGTATTTTAAGAAATGTTTACATGTATTTGAAAAATGTCCAATGAGTGATTATGTATCACAAAATGTTTCGCATATGCGCTAAAAATATACATTGTGTACAGAGTAAAAGTAGGCATGTGTATAAAAAGAAGGCCGATAAATACCTATAAAGAAACAAAAGGAAAATAAAAGTAAACAAATAAAATCAAGAAAGAAACAAAGAAAACCAAAGTATAACGAAGAAAGAAGAAAAAACCGAAGAAACCCAGTGAAAAAACAATGAGAACCGAAGTCTAACGAAGAAAAAAAGACCGAATAAATCCAGTGAAAAATCAAAGAAAAAAACAAAATATAACAAAAAGAGGAAAACAAAAGAAAACCGGAGCAGTGACAGGAGCGGCAGCGAGCCACCTGTGCTAATGTCGGGCCTGATACTAACAAAAAGTAACCGTTACTTCCATAGCAATTTGATTTTGTTCTAGCCTGCATTTGGTTCTTGGATAGGGGTACAACAAGTCATAGGAATTAACAATGTTCAAGAAATCGTTAACTGGTAGTTGCTTGGTCGGTTTAGCAGTAGCAATTAATCTGTAAATCGGCCTATTAACTAGATTAATCAGTAAATTGAATAGGAACTTGCCAACATATATCTAGATTTTTTATGTATTATATCATACTCTCATGCTCCCAGCTATGTAGTATACCAAAACATGTTGCGATACACATATGAAAAGCATAGAGAGGAGGTAAAATTATTAATCCTACCTATTAAGGAGCGGGATGGCGCTGGAAAGGGTTACTGGCTAAAAATTTGGGCTTTGTTTGCCCACCAGTTAATGGCCAGCAGGGATTAATCGGCATCATAACTGATTAATCTGTCTAACTGGCCAATTAATCAGCCTAACAAGTTAACATGATGAATATGTGTTATTCGATTCGGCCATGCTATGAATAGCGATTAACTGGCCCATTAACCAATTAATCAAGTGAATTCTTGAACAACGGGAATTAATCTACCAAGCTAGACCAGCTTGGGCACTGGATCAATAGACGCGGTTGTACTCTACTAGAACCTATGATGTATCACTACAAATCAGTACGTTGCATACGCACATCCTTTAAATGACCATGGCTACGGTCAGTGTCACTCTGCAAAGACAAATTTAACGGGATGACAATAGGACCAAATGCTATACTTGTTGGTTTGTCCTTGTTTTAACCATGAGGTTAGTAGTTTACCAGCGCTTAACACTGGGAATCATTCACGCTGAATGGATGGTCAGAAAATACCAAAGTTAAACTAACCTTAGTTCAAAACTGCGACACTTATTTTGATTGGAGTAAGTACTGTAATAGTATATCAACACATAAGCCCTCCCTTGACCACCAACTGTTCTCTAACCCTCCACAGCTACAGCACAAAACGAACAGAACTGAAAGAAATCGGCAGCGGTTGCTAATCTGAACGAGAAAATAAAATCATGAGCTGATAACTTGCAAAGCGGCAAGTACTCTCCAAAACATATTGCAACAGAGTCGAATCGTAGTAATAGAAACTGAGAATTTTTGGCAACCATTCAGCCAAAGACGATCCTGCTCCGAAAAGGAAAAACTGTACAGGTTTACAAATAATGTACATCAACAATCTCTCTTCTTTTCGCCCTTTCTTCGGTGGGAGGAACCGAGACGGATTTTTCGCTTCCACAAAAAATTTCCTGTCTACGGGGGTTATTCACCCTTCAATGTATATGGCATCTCTTTCCTGGTCTCTGTTGTCGCTTTGTTCCATATTTACATACGGAGGAGGGACGACGTTGTCTCATGCACGCAAATCATAAGAAGCTCAAAGAACACTTGGCCAAAGTTGACAGATGAAAAACAGCTGCTTCGTCCATTCCAAATGATTTTGTTCAAGCGAGCACCTGGGCCACAAGCACAATAATGACATTACTTAATAACATATCAAGTAATATCAGGGTGTCTCTTTTTAGTATCCGCTGTTCATAGAATATCTTCAGCAAACAAACTCAAGACAAAAGTATTCCTGGTTGCATATCATTGTTTCAACTTCCAAGTGACAACAATGATATTCGAAACGCTTCACCAGCTAATGACATTTATAGTAAAAATAAATAAATAAATAAGGTGTACCAATCTAAATTGGATTCTGTATTTGATTTGCATGATCCACAATGTATCAATACGAACTGCATATTGCACAAACATGTTCAGAAATCCTTGGGACAACCCAAACTATCAAAACTGACATACTAGTCATGACCCCATGTTTGATCCCCCGGACACTGAAATTAAGGAGGTACTACAAATTTACGATAGTAACCAAGATTTGGTAAAAGACAATACCTGGAATTATGTGCATTTCCTAGACAAGAAATCAGTTCATATTCAGCGTCCGCTGCTGCTACTTGTCTCTTGGGCACAACCATCCTTGAGAGCATCTTGAGCTTCATTCTCCATGTCTAAAGAAAGCAACGCTGCAGCTTGAAGGTAAAATGCAGTCGGCCATGTCGGAGATATTACTAGCGCTTGCATTGCATCACTGAGAGCCTGTTCTGCCATGTCATTCATCAGATATGATAGGCAACGCCGAGCATAAATGGTGGGGGACACCATCGTACCGACTTCAATGAACTGCATGTCACAAATCAACAGCAATGAACAGAGTCAACATTGGTTCATAGCCTTTTAGAAAAGTCAACGGATGTACAATAATTTCAGATCACTTCATAGCCCGCCCCGGAATTGATGTTACTATTAGTGCCTTTGAACTTTAGGAGAGCCAATGGGAATTGTGGAATGATACAGTTACATTTCAACATGAGACTCTTGCAACATGTCAGCTTGTATAAAAGAAGAAAAGAAATTGAGAAGTGAAAGCAACCTGGGAGTAACAGTCAATAGCAGTAGTAAAATCCTTTTGCCGAAATGCACTGTCACCCTTCTTCTTTGAGGTTAATGTATCTTGCATTTGATTGGTCCACATCTGAAATGAGAGCTGCAGCAAGGGGACAAATATCATGTAACAGCAAAGCAATTTTAACAGTTTCAGTTAAACAAATTTTATTATAAGTACAAGAGTATATATACAGGCGTATGTACATAGGGCTTAAGGAAAGGATTGTACAGAGGAAGAAAAAAGAAGAGTACGTTTACAAGATTAGGCAAGAGAATGTATCCAAAGCGAGGCTGGGAGTCTTAGACTCCTCCCCAAATCTATGGCTGTTCTTAAAACATGCCGTACAAGAAAAGGGGGGTATTTTCGAAGGTTTTGACATTCCTCTTCTTCAAAATGTACAAATACAAAGATTATCCAAAATTATTTACAGGATACAGTTCCAGTTCTGAAATAATGGTGGTGTCAGACTAGTTTTACGTTTTCATATGCTTCTTAACAAATGTTGCATAAGAAAGACATAGGCTAGGGACTCAGCTAGCATACACATGCAAAAAAGGGATCAGATTAGGGATAAGTCAAATACATATAGAATATTATCTTGTTAGGAAAGAGGCCTGTTTATTTAGGAATATATGGTCATGGAAAGATGTGAAACACTATAACTTCTCGCTAAAAGATACTCCCTCTGTTCATCAATATACAACGTTTTAGAGACTTGTCACAAGTCTCTAAAACGTCTTATATTGATGGACAGAGGGAGTATGTGATATACGTACTTCAATCCAATCAACCAAAATGCATTTCGCATGCCACCAGAAGAGGTCTTACACTAAAACTTCTCCCAAAAGATGTGATATTATATTTTGGATCAAAATATAAAGTGCACACATAAAAGTATTGATGATTTTATTAGTTACCTCATTTGCTGTTCCCTCATCATCCTTGTACCCTGTCTTTTCTAGAATTTCATGTATTGCTGTCAGATCCTTTCTGGAACAAGCGTCAGCAAGAGGAGAAAGAGGCAATGATTGGACAGATGATGCACCGGCTTGGGGCATATCCATCAGTTCGTAAGATGGAGTCTACAAAACAGATTGACACCACTGCAGTTATAACATTATATACTTCATGTCCAATGTTGATCGGGAGCCAGATAACTAATAAGTTGGCGTTCGCCATATCTACTTTTTCACACTAAATTTATGAGGTAGTACTGACTTATTTGATCCATGATATGTACTGTATTATACTGTCAGGCTAAGAAAACTGCCAGAAAAGATTATAAAGCTGGGAGATGGAAATGCTTATTTGAAGACAAGGACTAAATAGCACAATACACATACCAAAACCCCTGGTGGCATTTTCGCACTAAACTTTAGAGGAAGATAACTTGAATTCATTTGTTCTAGACAGAGTAAGGAAAGTTCACCTCAACATCTTTCTGAAGAGGAGCCAATGCTTGAACCATAGATCTTACATTCGGCCGTTCTCGGGGTTCATAGTGCAGGCATCTTGAAGCTAATCGTACCAGTTCTGTTCCTTCCTCATTTGAAAATTGGCCCTCTAAACACGAGTCTGTAAGCATGCTAAAGTTCCGATCTCGAATCAGGTCAAGGGCCTGCAGATATTAACTAGCATCAGTTAGTCTGGTAAAATGAAGATATAAACAACTATTTGGTGCAAAGTCAAGTTCTAGCCATTGTTCTAGGAAATTATTATTTTTATCCTGTTATTAAAGTGTTGTTTTCCTATACTTAGTTTAAAGATCCCAAACAGTCAATCCATTTCTGGCATGCAAGTTGATGGAGATAAGGACTTGTATTTAAGTTCTTCACATTGTTCAGTGGAGATAGCGAGGGCAGGTCAATATCTTCATACAAGAAATAGTTTCGCATTGCTTCACGCGCATGACATACTATAGCAGTAAATAAAACAATAAATGTATAATGGTGCCGAAGAAGCTCAAAGTATAAGAAATGTATAAATGTATAATGATGCCAATTGCCAAGGAAGTAAAAGTAAGATAGAAAATGATGTGGAAGAACTAAAGCTCAAAGTTGTTACATGGCTCGGAGGAATATGCTTCCCACTAAGAACGTCCAGTAGCAAGGTGCCAAAGCTATATATGACACTTTCAGGTGTTATACGTCCTGCAAGTAAAAGAGTAAACAGGAAAGTATCACGGTGATGTTAGAGGCGAACTATGGTGTAAGAAATTACAATGTGTTATTTTTGGGAGCAATCAAGTGTTTATACATAGTTAAAAAGAGATGAATTTATCACCTAGACTGCCTAGTACAAGGAACTTAAATGAAACATTATATAATCTTCAAGAAAGTTAACATGCTTGGTTGTGAAGCTAGCATTGAACCTAGGTTCTGTAAATAGGGCAAACTGTCAATATCCTCTATCAAGGGGTGACTGCACACACTATCTCAACCATGAATTGCAACCTTGAGACCTATGCAGATCCTCTCCTCTTACAATTATCACAATGTGTGAAGATCTCAAGGTACATTCGTGGTACAGATCATATTGTAAGCCATGCCAGTTAAAATTAACAACTACTGAGTATATTTTACTTAACAGATCAAACCATTAGGGTGCAAAAAACATTCTGGGAATCTAATGTAGGGTGTCATGAAAACAGTGCTATACTATGACATAACGTAATAGTATTAGGGAAGCTGAATCCACCCCACTGTACAATGCACAGGCAGAAAAAAACTCAAGGTATAATCTCCAACTATACAACTACATCATTAGAACATAGAAACTTTGCAAGAAAGTTCAGTGCCAATGTGGTCTGACAAGAAAGATTCTACGAAGATCATCCAGGGACTGCTACATAAAAGCAAGCTATAGGGTTTTAGCAACATAAAGAGGAAACCAACCAGTTCTCATGTATTCGGGAGGAGTAAATGCCAGATTGGTACTGTAACTTTTGCCATCCCGGCTGTTCTTCATAAGGCCAAAGCATGAAAGTCTAGGGTTACAATCCTGCAGCATGTAAACAATGTATAAATCAACCAATGCAACAGCAAACACACATATAAACAAAGTTTACCAAGCTGGTAAAACAACTTGCATGATACTCACATCATCAAACAGAACTCTGTAGGCATTAAGATCATGGTAGAGAGCACGCCCCTTACTGGTGCAATATTCTAAAGCCTCAGCAAGATAGAGAACAACCCTTAATCTCATGGGCCATTTCATCGCTTGGGTTTCCCCTGTCAAATGCATACAATAATGGAGAAATATTACATCATTAATCAAGCAAGGCATTAAAGATAATGTGCAGATAGTCCCAGTCCACTTAAAGGTCCTAAATGATAGCTAGACTAGACATAATACAAGTGTGAGAATCTTTCAAGAAATGTTTGAGTTGCATAACCTAATGTGTCTAGAACAGATAATCTTATTACTCCTATGCATTATGTAACAATTACCAACAGTCATGAGGAACAATGTTTAGAAAATGAACAATCTGCACAATTTCTTGTCAAAATTCATTTACAAAATTTAGACATGAACAGAGACCAATCATTAACAGATGCGACATCATGAACCTATGAGCAGTTAAGCTTATAGGTTGAGAACAATAATAGATAACAATAAAAAACTGCGCTAAACATAATTACAACCAGGAAATGCAAGGCGACTCACAGTGGAAAAGATGTTTTGCTAGTGTGTCGTTAGGCATGTACTCTGCAACAAGCAATCTCTCGTCACCTTCGCAGCAACAGCCAAGCAGATTTGCTAACCTTTTGCTCCGGAGCTGACCAACTGATTTAGCTTCTTCCTGAAGCATAATTATTTCCCCAAAAGATATTGGCAAATCTTAGAAAAATACTGGAACTGTATGGGTCAAGCAAAAAATGTATCAACAAAAGGAATTTTGTTTTGACTTTTGACACAAAAAATGCCATCCGCTGTCCTGCTACAGACAGAGCAAAAACTTCTACATATTACTAGCCATCTAAATAAAGATATCACCCTAAAAGCCAAAAAAGAGAGGTGAGATAACTGATAGCAGAAGGGTCATATAAAGCACTGGACCAAGGAGTAGACCTAGTACAGTAAGAAAATACACAACCTTGTCAAATAGATTAGCATTTGAAGGAAATTATGATAGCAACGCAATAGAGATTGTGAAAATGCTGAATCGTTGATTTGCCAAGAGCATTAGTAGAACACAATGATGGGAGTATGGGACAAGTAGTGGCTGGTAATGATTGATTGCTGTCTCACACTGGTTGTACATTGGAATCTAATAATCGTACAAAAAGAAAAATATGTTGGCCAGACAGTTGGTAGATGCCACCCTTTCATCTGCCAGCCATCATAAGAAACCATCCAAAAGCAAAACAAGTAAATTAACAAGCGTGCATATCATCGCAGGTCAGGAGCAGGTAGAAATCAACAACCTCCATGATAAGAGACATCATTCTCAAATTGCAAGCGGCACAATAACTAACCAGTAACGAACTAGTGGCATCAAGGCATTAGTAACACCGAGCAGACGCACATTGTTACTAGAGAGGATAAGCGAAGGCGACAGGAGGCATATACCAGGAACTGGCGCGGGTCGGGCCAGGCGGAGCGGTTGAAGCGCTTGACGGCGATGCGGCGCTGGGCGTCGAGCTTCCCCTTGTAGACGACGTTGGGCGCCTTCTCGCCATGCTCGGACACGATGTTCTCCACGGCGAAGCCGGCCGTGGCCAGGCGCAGCTGCTCGAAGGTGTACTCCTGGAACGCCGGCAGCTCGTACGCCTCCCCCTGCTCGTCCTCCTCTGCGCATCAAAAGCCGCCTCAGTCAGTCAGATTACTGCAATCCCCACCCATCTGGCAAGCCCAATCCGCGGACCTAATAACAAATCAAAGGCGAATAATAACCCTTGGGCTCAACCCATGGTCAACCGCCCCCAAATGCGGCGGCGGTCGTCGCGGCGCACGCGCGATCGGAAAACCGCCCCCCGCCGACAATCTCGGGGGCTAGCGGGAGCAAAAATCGCGGAAGCCGACAAGGTCCCGAAAAGGGGAGGGCGGCCGCCAGAAATAGCGAGCGGAAAATCTCGAGAGCTAGTAGCCGTGGCGAGCAAGCGAGCATGGAGCATTGCGAGGAGCAGTAGGCACGCACCGGAGCCGGGGTCGTCGAGGCGGGTGCTGCCGTGGAGCTGCCCGCGGAGGCAGCAGCAGGAGGTGGCCTTGGACACCCTGGCGCCCATTCCGATCCCCCTCCTCCTCCTCCTCCTCCCTCGCCGCCGAACCTGCAAGCAGAGCAGCGAGCAGCCTGAGAACGGAGCAGGTCGTCGGCGGCACGCGGATCTGAGCAAGGCCAAGCCAGCCGAAGGCAGCAGCATAGCAGACGAGGCCGGAACTTACCTCGCCTGAGCGAGCAAGCGCGGAACCGGAGCGAATCGAAGCGGCGCGGCGACGGCGGGGGCGGGGGAGGGGACTGGGCTGGATTGGATTGGATCTCCCTCGGCTCTCTCTCGCCCCCTCTCGCCCCTCGACTCTCTCGGCTCTCTCCTCTCTCACCACCACCTTGCTGTGCTGTGTTGGGGGTGGGGGGTGGGAGCCGGTGGTGGTGTTATTCGCTAATGCCGCTGTTTTTTAATGGGTTTTTTAGTAGTTTTATACCGACATGCCTGTACTGTGTGCCGCCGGGCTGTGGGCCTAGTAGGGTTTAATCGCGCGGTAATTTCAGGTACTTGCTCCACTACTCGGAGAGTAATTAAATTAATTACCGCTAACTAAATAAATGCCCGCCTAAAACGGCACGGCACACGCCGCTTCTCTTCCTACCCTATAATACTGCTAGTCAAAGAGGGTCCCTTTGAATCACGGCTTGCAAGCAAAATGGCGTGGCGCGAGACGGAGAAAGAAGGCCCACTTTCACTAGCTTTTCCATCTTTATCTGAGATAAGATGGCTCTTGGGTGCGTACGTGGGCCATGATGACAAACGCAAACTGAGATGAGATGGACCGATTCGCTGATGAAAGGTTCACTTTTTCATTCCTCGAAAGCGGTGATCGCCGAAAAAGAATCGGCGGGCGCGCGCGCGCACGCACGCATGATGACGATTAAACTGGTTGCACGTACAGTACGTGCGTGCGTGGGTACAGCCTGGCCTGGCCTGCGCGGTACAGCGTGGCAGGGGAAGGCACGGACGAGATAGGGAACCAGCTCCATCATCGTCCAGCTGTCAACTAATCATCTCGGACAGGGCAGCTCGCCTGCATGCTCGGACACGGCAGGGCTGATCTGGCGGCCGTGCCAAGTGACCGTCCGGTGGGTGGGCCCTCCGCCCGGGAGGGACGGCGGTGGAGTACAATGCGCGAAAATATCTGTCCAGCCAGCCTAATGATCCTGTGGAGACTGCAGAGTATGTGTATTTTTGCGTGCGTTAGTGGTCGCGCGTACGTACGTACGAACGCCTGGTTAATTTATTTATTTTGAGATGAACGCCTGGTTAATTGGTTAGTTCGAAAATGGCAAATGGGAGAGGCCGGCCGGCCGGTCACATCAATCGTGCGTGCGTGCGTGCGCGCGCATCACTTTCATTTCTGCATGAGTGCACAAATTAAGGCCTTAATTAGCGCGTAAAGTAGGCATAAAAGTACCATGTCTAATGATATTCTCGGGTCTCCGTGCCCAGGAATCTCGTATGCACGCTCCGGAAAAAAGAAGTTTGTGCTCAAATTATAATTATAGGCTTGGCACTCAAGCAACTAAATTTATTTATTTTCGATTTATTTCAGATTTTTCGACGATGCTTATTTAGTGGGAGGAAATGGGATGAGGATTTGCGGCATGTAAGTGCAGGGGCACTTAAGTCCCTGGTGCTGCCTTTCTGTTTTGGCTTCGGATTTTCAAAGTTCTATATATCTTTAAAAAAAATCAAACTACGTTTTGTTCTCATATTCGTGTTTCTCGTGAGTAGCGCTTCGAATCCATTTTGATTATATTTTGATGAGTTTTAAAAAATATGTCAAGTTTCAATGTTGAAACTTAGTACAAGCGACCTATGAAAATTAATTATCTTGTGTCTATGGCCGACAGAAATAATTGTTCAAAATTATATCTTGGGAGTTATTGAAACTTGGCAATTTTAGATGCAAAAAACCGCCAGTTTCATCGTTAAAACTTAAAAACTTCTTGAGGGGTTTTCTTTTTTACCGTGCCTCATGCGGGATTCAACTCCTTCATGAACCGCAAGGCAAAATCGAGCGGGCGGTAGGGCTTGGCAGGTGAGTGCCCCAGTGAATTTCCAGGAGGAAACGTCCTGTGATGGCGTCTACCACTGACTTCATCAATCTCGATATGTCGTGATGGCTCAGTATCTCGAGAGAGCTCATAGAGGTAGAGTGTGTGTATGCTTTTCACAAGACTGACGTAGTATCTTTGACCGTACCATGTTCAAAATAAAGTTTATAATCATGTTAACAATAGTGTTCGGCAAAAAATAATTTTGTTTCCAATTACGAAAATGTTGCACTTGTGCCGAATTTTTTTTCTTTCAAGAAAAAGATCGAAAACTAATAACCGAGCTAGCAGAGGTTAGTGGATCGAGCTGGAACGATGGGCCGATAGCTGGATCCTGGAGCTGGAGGGATATGCTATACATATCTGTCAGTACTCTGAACGTAGCACATAACCAAACCAGCCCCGTCAAATCAAATCAACAACCATATAGTAGTAGTATAATTAATTAAACTGCTCCATTTGGGATTGATCGATCGATAGATACTGAAAGCGAAACGTGGGGCCTGCCATCTCACGCGCCGATCGGGATCGGCCGACCCCCTGAATTAATTAGCTGGATTAATTCGTTAGCGGACGACGCTAGGAGTAGCTAGCTAGCTGCGTAATGATATTCTACTATGATTGATTAGCTCAGGGAGTTAACCGGTTGACCTTTGCTGCACTGACGTGACGCGTGTTCCTTGACCCTTCTGCCCATTTTCTCCCATGCTTCCACACATGACGCCGACGTTGGTTTCTCACTTCACGTCAGGTTTCAACTCTGAATAATCTAACCACCCACTCCCTTATCAATTTTTCATCATATACAATTAATTAGCTAGCTTGAAGCCACATTAACTCTAAGGTTGTGTTTGGTTGAGCTGCAGATTCTGAAAAAACTGCCGTGAGCTGTGAGAAATCTGTTGTGAACTTCCAGCCATGAAAAGGCTGAAAGCTGTTTGGTTGAAACAACTGTAAAACTATGGATTTAATAGGAATTGTCTGTAATACCACCGAGGGCCTGAGAGACTGTTTATATGGTAATTGACTGTAGAACACCGATCTGTAAGTTAATTGACATATGAATGACCATTTTGAGAAGGAATTTAAAAAAAATGGCAAATATCAATGAAATGCCTCACATTTGCATCATCCAATACTGCCTTCTCACACATACTTCAATCAAGCAACAAAATGCAACGACTTCAGTCATCACAACAACACAATGTACACTAATTGACAAGCACTCAAGCAAACATCCAATACACCATGCTATCCCTTTCATAACACAAGTCATCACATTGCAACTTCGTCCGGCACAGTCCCTATTCCATGGCCTCCGTGTCAACCATCACCACCGGTTCCATCTTCGACGTCGAGCTTCCAATACACAGGAAGTAATCATCACATTTTCCATACACAACATGCACTCAAAACATATACTTGTTGTACCCTGCACTAATAAGCACTAATCAGTAACATATACTTGATGTACCCTGCACTAACCAGCTTCTTATCAATCAATATACATAAGCTTATGCACTAATTAGTGTAGAAGTACAACAAGAACAATGAGGGAGGTGGCAGGAGGGAGGGAGGACATCTACTACCTTGCGGTGTCACGCAGGGCGCCGGTCATCGACGTCGCGTGGTGGCGCAGCTGGGCGGGAGGAGCTGGTCAACGGGGAAGCTGGGCGGGAGGGAAATGGAGGCGGAGGCGGAGGGTCGGGCTCGTCACGTAGCGCCGGAGGGCGGCAAGCGGCGACGACTGTGGTGGCTAGGAACCTATCCGAGGGGTCAGGAGCATGGGCGACTTGATGGGCCAATGCTTGTTGCTATGTTCGTTGGGCTTATCTAATCGAATCGTTTTTTTGACTTGGGAGTGGCATTGGTGGGTAAATAACACGCAACATCAAGGGGACAGCCAAAAGTGGTCAATTTAGAAGTTGGAAGTCAGAGTTGGGCCCGCTGTGAGTTTTACACTACGATGAAGTTGTGGCTTCTACAATTTCAGCTTCCAAAAAAACCCTTTGGTTAGCTTTTAGCTTTGAAAAGCTAGAAGTTGGCTGCAAAAATCTAACCAAACACAACCTAAGTATTCCTTTTAGGAAAGGTCACCGTGGCTAACTTTATTAAAACTCTAAGTATACGTATTAGCTAGACTGATGACGGTCAGAGTATCTGTCTTGCTACACCCTAAAAGTAGCACAAAATGGACGCATAAGTTCTTTTCCCACACCCCCCTCTTCGAGTATTTTGGACCACGTCCTGTAGCGCACTAAACAAATTACTTTTTATAATATAAAAGTTGACATACGTGAGAATATTCTCAATAAAAGTAATTTGCTTCAAGTAGTTTACCTTTTTTAGAATACTTGATTTACTCTCCGTGCAAAGCTTAACCATGATGGTAGTAAACCTGAGCATGGGCAGTTCGACACGAACTTGGCCTGAAAAAGCCTACCAGGCTCAGGCTTCATTCTCCAGCCTGAAGTAATATTCGGGCCGGGCTCTGGCTTCAGTTTACAGCCCGAATTTAACCCGGCCAGAATCATCAATGCCTAAAACATGTACTTTGTTTCCACTTTTCTGTGTCTGTGGGTTGTGGCATTTAGCGAAAACAAATATAAGTGTGGCCCAGGCGCCTACCCCAACAATTCACCACTCCCTCCCCCCAAAAAAATACAATTACCAAACCCTAGTTGTCACTTGTCTTTTCCCTTCCGTGGCCTTACACATTTTATGAGTTCCTTGTTTGATAGCAAGGTTAAGTTCAACTTTAAAAGTCAAATCTTCATTTATTTGTATTGAACTCCCATGAGTCACATATTCATCTCTTGTTGGGCACGCTTATACTTCAATGCTACATTTTTATGATTTTGTTGCTCACACCATCTTGGAATCTGTTATTTTTTTGAGATCTCCTTCATAAGTTTCGCCACAAATTTTAGCCTTGCTATGATACTTTACATTCAACTA